TAGAGATGGGGTTTGGCCATGTTACCAGGCTGGTCTCAAACTCCTGGGCTCAAGAGATCTACCAGCTTCAGCCTCCCAGTGTTGGGATCAGAGGTGTGGGCCACCATGCCCAGCCATATCTTCTTTCTCTAAACTGCTGTGCTTTCTTCTATAGGCAGTGTAGGAATACTATAAGATGCAACTGCCTAATCTTCACCAAACATGATTCTAAACACTGTATATGTGTTGGCTTCTTTAAATCTCATAACAAACATTTGAGGCAGGTATTATTACTGCCAATTTTGTTGTTGTTTGCAGGGGGGAAACCCTGCAAGAGCCAAAGCAAGGGTCTGAAGCCTCAGCATGTTCTCATATAAATATAAAACTAGAAAAGAATTAGAGATATAGTTACATAGTTATTCCTATATATAAAAATAATCACATAGCTATTTATATGTAATCATAAATATATACATATATAATCTTTAATCTTACTAATAAGTCTCAGGTCATGAAGTATGGGACTGAAGAGGAATTGGAAAAGAGGTGACCGTAAGGCAGGATGCTCTAAGCCCTCTGTCACGCACGCATAAGGGCTGCTGGAGGGCGCCTCGGCTGTGCAGCAGCGTCAGCACTAGGAAAGCGCCCCCTGTTTAGCCAGCTAGGGAAGGAGACGTCCAAGATGGTTGAGATGTCTCCTTCCTTGGGGGAGTGAGGAGAAAACTTCCCTCTCCCAAGCTCTTGTGGCAGGCCTGGCGGCTGTCAGGGACACCCACAGACATCCGGGGACTTAACTGTCTCTCTGTGGTCCTGTGCTTCAGCGGTCACATTCCATAGCTACTTTAAGTTCTGCTTCTGCACCTGGTTCCTCTTTTTCTTTGAAGAATTAGTAATAGTAACATAAATCGTAGTGACCTTGTTATTTCTTTACAAGTATGAAAAAAGTGCTGACGCCTTAGGTTTTCTCCTTGCCTTAGTTTCTTCAAAGTCTTGGGCCTCTGTCTCCAAGACACGTGATTTATCTGACCCTATCACTGACCACCATCACCTCATCCTACCTGCCCTGCACCCTGCTGTGGACTCAATAAAAGTCAGAGCGTCCAAGCATTTGGGGCCACTGCCAGACTCTGCACCTTGGTTGGCATGGACCCCTGGGCCCAAACTCTCTTTTCTCTATCTCTGTGTCTTGTGTCTTTTATTTCCACAGTTTCTCATCTCCACACCAGCAGAGAGGGACTCACGGGACCCTATAGGGCTGGACTCAATGGTTGGTGTTTACTTTTTTTGAAATTTATTTTGCAGGCTGGGTGCCGTGGCATAAGAATCGCTTGAACCTGGCAGGCAGAGGTTGCAGTGGGCCAAAATTGCGCCACTGCACTCCACCCTGGGTGACAGAGGGAGATTGTGTCCCCCCTCCAAAAAAGATCTGACTAAAAATTTATTTTTCAATAGGGATAGGGTCTCACTATATTGCCCAGGCTGGTCTCAAACTCTTGGGCTCAAACAGTTTTCCCACCTTGGCCTCTCGAAATGCTCAGAGTATAGGCATGAGCCATCGCGCCCAGCCCTATTCCCATTTTTGAGATGGGGAAATTGAGGCACAGGGAGGTTAAGTAACTTGTAGAGCTTATGTAATTATTCAGTTTCAGAACTGGGCTTGAAGCCCAGGCAGTCTGATAACAGAAACCCTGCCCTTAATTGCTTAGCCATAAATTTGATGATGACAATGACTGAATTATTTCTTCTAAAATATGTAACTCTGTTGGGTGTGGTGGGTGGCTCACACCTGTAATTCTAGCACTTTGGGAGGTGAAGATGGGTGGATCACTTGAGCCCAGGAGTTCAAGACCAGCCTGAGCAACATGGCAAAACCCTGTCTCAACAAAATATAAAAATTAGCGAGGCGTGGTGGCACAAGTCTGTGGTCTCAGCTACTCAAGAGGCTGAAGCAAGAAGATGGCTTGAGCCCCAGGAGGCAGAAGTCGCAGTGAGCCTAGATTGTGCCACTGCATTCCAACTTGGGTGACAGAGTGAGACTCTGTCTCAAACAATAAATAAAATGTATAACTCTCACTCCCTTCCCCCATAAACAAAAGAATATGTTAATTATTATTAAAGACCCCATACTTGCAAAGCTTGAGTTCTCTCTAATCCTCCGCAACTCTGCGAAGGAGACAGGGCAGGAAGGAGCAGGAAGGACCAGCCTCCTTCACAGATGGGAACAGCCATGACAAAGCAGCGGGGACTGGCCACAGACAAGAGACCAGGCCCCTGTCTGTGTGGCTGCCACTGGGATCCCCACCTGCACCCCTCCCTGGTCTCACTGGCATGCAGGTGGCCCTATCCCTGCCCCTTGCCAGCACTCACCAGCAGGACAATGCTCCCAAAGTAGCTGGCCCTCAGCAGCATGTCCAGGTCATGGGGCACCTGAACAGGGGAATCAGGAGTGAGGGAGTGGGCTCCGTCACAGACCCCCTCTTGCCCATCCCACAAACAGGCCCTGGCATACCTTGTCCCCCACCAGCGACAGCTGCAGGGCCCCTGCCCGGAAGTAGCTCTCCATGGCAGAGTCGAAGAAGAACTCAGAGAAGGCCACATATACCATCCGCTCCTCCTCCTGCAGCTGGGGCTCCACCGCCCGGTTGGGGAGGCTCCAGTTCTTTTCTGTCAGGGGGAAGAAGGCCCCCTGGGGTGGGGAACTCAGGGTCAGGGTCGAGGCAGACTGGGCCGGCACCTGGACGGACAGCAGATACCTCGGCCCTGTGCTAGGCATTGCGGGAGGATGGCAGGAACCCAGCTGCTGTTCTTGGCGGACTCACAGGCACATCTCTTGTTTTTTTTGTTGTTGTTTGTTTGCTTTTTTGGCTTTTGAGATGGAGTCTCGCACTGTTGCCCAGGCTGGAGTGCAATGACGCTATCTCGGCTCACTGCAACCTCCACCTGCAGGGTTCACATGATTCTCCTGTCTCAGCCTCTCGAGTAGCTGAGATTACAGGCACATACCACCACACCCGGCTAATTTTTTGTACTTTTAGTAGAGACAGGGTTTCACTATGTTGGCCAGACTGGTCTCAAACTTCTGACCTTGTGATCCACCTTGGCCTCCCAAAGTACTGGGATTACAGGTGTAAGCCACTGTGCCAGGCCAACAAGCACATCTCTTAAAAGGCATTGGAAGGAGGACACCTGCTACAAGGTGGGGAGCCCATCAGACTGGAGGAGGGAGGGTCACGAGGTGACATCTGAGCGGGCCTTGAAAGCTAGAGGCAGTAACAACAGCTACTGTTTACATATATTGTGCAGACTTATCATGCTTCTGTGCCAGGTTCTCTAAGGTGTTTACATAGATCAACTCTAATCTGCATAGCAATGTATGCTTTCTTACTGGATTATTTCCATCACACATTACACAGACACTGAAAAGTTATGCTTAGGGCCATGCAGCCAGTCAGTGGCAGAGCTAGGATTTGAACATTTCAGGCGTTCTTTTTCTTTTTCTGTAGAGATGGGGTCTCGCTATGATGCCCAAACTGGTCTCAAACTCCTGGGCTCAAGCAGTCCTCTCACCTTGGCCTCCCAAAGTATTGGGATTACAGGCAAGAACCGCTGCACCCAACTGATTCTAGCTCCCGAGTCTGCACTCTGAAACTGCTGTACTCCTCTGGGAGACCAAAGGTAGTGTCTACACACTAGCTATGTGGCCTTGGGCAAGTGATGTCACCTCTACAAGTAAGTCTCCACATCCCTAAAATTAGGATGATGTTACTACCTGACTCACAGAGTTGTGAGAGGATGAAATGAGATTATTTGCAGAGATTTGTGTCCAACTCCTTCAGGAAGCTGGGGAAAGGCCATGCATGAGCAAAGGCCCTGAGGTGGGAATCAAGGGGTCAATCTGGGGAACAGCAAAGAAACAGGATAAGATTTAAAAGATGGGGCAGGCAGGGTGCAGTGGCTAATGCCTGTAATCCCAGCACTTTGGGAGGCTGAGGTGGGTGAATCACCTGAGGTCAGGAGTTTGAGGCCAGCCTGACCAACATGGTGAAACCCCCATATCTACTAAAAATACAAAAATTAGCTGGGCATGGTGGCGCGCACCTACAGTCAGCTACTCGGGAGGCTGAGGTAGGAGAATTGCTTGAACCGGAGAGGCAGAGGTTGCAATGAGCCCAGATCGCACCATTGCACTCCAGCCTGGGCAACAAGAGCAAAACTCCGTCTCAAAAAAAAAAAAAAGGTGGGGCCAGGTAAGATTAACAGGGCTCAAATGCCAGACCCAGGAGACAGAACCTAATTCTGCAGTAATAGGTGGCCATAGCATTCTCAGTAATGAGAATGGGCTCATCAGAACTGTGCTTTAGGAAGTAAAATCATGCAATTTAGCAGAGAAAGAGGTCTCGTTAGGAGGTCAGAAGTTATACACCAGCCCAAGCAGCTTACCCGGAAGTCCATGTCCAGGTTGCTGGTGGAAGCCACAGGATCCTTCATGAGGGAGTAGTCAATGCCAACAAGGTCATCCACAGAACTGCGCACTGCAGGAAGGGGCTCAAGTCACTCACGGCTGTGTGATGTGGGACAAGGTGCTTAACCTCTCTGGGCTTAGAGTCCCACCCATAAAATGATGATACATCCATCCTTCATAGGGTTGTCATGAGGGTCGAATTAGCTTTTTTTTATTTTTTATTTTTTGAGACAGAGTCTTGCTCCATTGCCAGGTGCCAAGCTGGAGTGCAGTGGCACAATCTTGGCTTGAGGTCGAGACCAGCTTGCTCCAACATGGTGAAACCCTGTCTCTACTAAAAATACAAAAATTAGCCAGGCATGGTGGTGGGTGACTGTAATCCCAGCTACTCAGGAGGCTGGGGCAGGAGAATTACTTGAACCCAGGAGGCGGAGGTTGCAGTGAGCCGAGATTACACCACTGCACTCCAGGCTGGGTGACAGAGCAAGACTCCATCTCAAAAAAAAAAAAAAAAAAAAAAAAGGGATGCGGTTCCTTTCCCTTGGTTTCTCCTACCTCCTCCTTCCTTCTCATGCCTGTGTGTGGGTATGATGGGACAATATCTTTGCCCCATAGGAGACAGAAGTCATGGCTTAGAAAAAGGGAATTTCTGTAATCCAAGCACTTTGGAGGCCAAGGCTGGCGGATCACCTGAGGTCGGGAGTTCAAGACCAGCCTGACCAACATGGTGAAACCCCGTCTTTATAGAAAAAAAAAAAAAAGAAAGAAAAAGGGAATTTATGTTAATTGAGCACCTAAATGAAGACAAAGGGATGCCAGTTGTCAGCATGTACATATTGAGGACCTTGACAACTATTCTCAGATAACCCTCACAGCAACCCCAGGAGGAGGTACTGCCAACCAAGTGAGTAAACAAGCACTTTGCCCGGAGAGAAATCAGCACTTACCCAAAATCACACAGCAAGTCAGCTCCAGAGGCCACATTTGAACCCAGGACTGTTCAACAGCAGGGCTTGGAAGGGGCCTGCTCTGAGGTGCTGCATGACAGCTGCACACCTGGCCTCACCCCCCACCAACTCACCAGGAATGGTGTCCAGGAGGGAGTTGAGCAGGACCGTCCCTGCATGGTAGAGTACGGGGCAGATCTGCGAGGTGGGGGTCAGAGTCAGGGCCTTCTCAAAGTGAGAGCATGCCCACCCTTGCCACCCCACAACCTGCCGCTGCCCACACCTGCTGGTTGAGGAGGAAGCGCATCCCTGAGGTGATGAACGTGGAGAGAAACTCATACACCTTCCTGTGAGGAGAGGAGAGACCGGGTGAGCCCAGAACCTGCCCCTGCCCCAGTCCAGGTCCAGGTCCAGGAGATATCAGTGACCAGGGAAATAGTGGCAGTGGGAGTCCTCAGCTTCAGCCTAAATAATAGCTCCTCCATGAAGGTTTTCCAAGAACCAGGCCCAAATTCCCTCTTCAGCCTGATTCTCAAGACCTCCCGACCTACTCGCTGCTCCCACCAGCCAAATGAATCCACCCACAGTGCCTCAAACACACTCTGAGCATCCCCACATCCATCCCTTCCACCCTCTGCGTTCCTACCCTATAATTCCCCATCTGAGCTCAGATGCTTCCTCTTCTGGGCTGTCTTCCCAGATTCCCCTCCTCTGAATCCCCAAAGCGCTTTCTTAGTCCCTCTCTCCAGGCCCTGACAACAAATGTTTTTTACTCCAGATAGACTCTGAGCTCCTTCCTGCATTCTCAGAGCCTGGCATATACTTTGATGAATAAATAATACTGTCAGTGTACCAGCACCAGGTGATAATCCACCATGTTGTTTCCCCCACCCTCTTCCAGAACAAGAACCATATCTCCTTCTGAGCAGGAAAAATTAAAAAATAGGCCAGGCACAGTGGCTCACACCTGTAATCCCAGGCCTTTGGGAGGCCGAGGCAGGCGGATCATCTGAGGTCAGGAGTTTGAGGCCAGCCTGGCCAATGCGGTGAAACCTCATCTCTACTAAAAATACAAAAAAAGTAGCTGGGCATGGTGGTGCATCCCTGTAGTCCCAGCTACTTAGGAGGCTGAGGCAGGAGAATCGCTTGAACCCAGGAAGTGGAGGTTGCAGTGAGCTAACATTGTGCCACTGCATTCCAGCCTGGGCAACAGAGTGAGACTCCATCTCAAAAAATATTTAGCCGGGCGCGGTGGCTCAAGCCTGTAATCCCAGCACTTTGGGAGGCTGAGGCGGGTGGATCACGAGGTCAAGAGATCAAGACCATCCTGGTCAACATGGTGAAACCCTGTCTCTACTAAAAATACAAAACATTAGCTGGGCATGGTGGCGTGTGCCTGTAATCCCAGCTACTCAGGAGGCTGAGGCAGGAGAATTGCCTGAACCCAGGAGGCGGAGGTTGCGGTGAGCCGAGATCGCGCCATTGCATTCCAGCCTGGGTAACATGAGTGAACTCTGTCTCAAAAAAAAAAAAAAATATTTATATTATTTTTGTTATAATTATTTACAGATACCAATTGAGAATCCAGTACATGGCCAACTGTGCATATTAGTCCTCACTATTACTCTAATCTAAGTGGCCAGCACTTAAATATGCATTTATCATATGCCAAGAGCTGTTCTATATATTTTTACATGTACCAACACAATCCTGGCAATGAGCTTATAAAATAGGCTTTACTATTATCCCCATGTTACCTATGAGGATATCAAGGCACCGAACTTCAGTGACTTGCCCAAGTTCACACAGCCAGGAAGTAATAGCTGAGCTTTGGACCCAGTTGGTCTGATTCCCAAGCCTGTGCACTTTGCACTGCGCTAGGCAGATGAGCTGCAGGGCTCAAAAGGGGTGAGCTGGGGTTGGGGATGGGGCTTACTTGAAGGTTCCACCGAAGGCCGCATGCATTCTGGAGACAGAAGCCTGGCAGGAGACATTGGACACTTTCATCCGGCCAGCAGGATCCCGGGAGAGCTCCAGACCAGTGCGGATGGACACACCCTCAGCTGAGGCGTTGATGTAGCCCCCATCATAGCTGCCAAGGGGGTTAATATTCACTCCAGGTAGGAGCTTAATTAGTCCTCAGTGCCCCCACGCATCACGATACCTCTTAGTAAGGTTTCACTTCCTTCCACCCATCCTACCATACCCTCCAATCAATTCTTATGAAGTGGGTATGCTTGTTCCTATTGTATAGATAAAGAAACTAAAACTCAGGAAGGCTAAGGGAGTTGCCCACAGCCCCACAGCACCTCCGGCCCTCCTGACCCACCCTCCACTCCCCTCAGGGTGCTGGGTCCTTACAAGAACCAGTAGAGCAGCTGTCTCCGGAACTGCAGCCCCAAGGAGGCATTGGTGATTTGTAGCATCAGTTCCTGCTGTGGCTGGAAATCGAGCTCAGAAGATGTCAGCTGCAGCTCTGTGACCTTCACCCTACAGGCGACCTCAGGGTCAGATCCAGGGCCAAATAGAGAGAACTCCACCCAACCACAGGAAATGTGTCTGTTCCTCTTTCAAGTCCAGGCTTTGGGAAGTGGGAGTGGATGTAATGAATTCTTCCATTGTCCCTCAAGTGCCCAACTTAGACTTGGGTGGCTCAAAGTTGAACTTGGGTGGCTGAGAGATGAGGTCTTCCTGATCCACGTGTTAAAAGTGAGCTTAACCCCATCGTTTAGAAGTCTTGTTTGCTTGTTTGCTGGGCAAGGTAGCTCATGCCTGTAATCCAGCACTTTGGGAGGCCAAGGCGGGCAGGTCACTTGAGGTCAGAAGTTTGAGACCAGCCTGGCCAACATGGTGAAACCCCCGTATTTATTAAAAATACAAAAAGTAGCTGGGTGTGGTGGCATGAGTCTATAGTCCCAGCTACTCCGGAGGCTCAGGCAGGAGAATCACTTGAACTCAAGATGCAGAGATTGCAGTGAGCCAAGATCGTGCCACTGCACTCTAGCTGGGGCAATAGAGTAAGACTCCCTCTCAAAAAAAGAAAAAGTCTTGTTCGCTTGCCCCACCTCCCCTCCCACACCCTGGGGTTGCTAGACTCGGTCTTTTTAACTTTTATTTATTTATTTATTTATTTATTTTGAGACAGAATCTCTCTCTGAAGCCCAGACTGGAGTGCCATGGCATGATCTCGGCTCACTGCAACCTCGGCCTCCTGAGTTCAAGTGATTCTCCTACCCCAGCCTCCCAAGTAGCTAGGATTGCAGGCGCCCACCACCACACTCGGCTAATTTTTGCATTTTTAGTAGAGATGAGATTTCACCATGCTGTCCAGGCTGGTTTTGGACTCTTGACCTCAGGTGATCCACTCGCCTCAGCCAGCCTCACCAAAGTGCTAGGATTACAGGCATGAGCCACGGCGCCCAGCCTAGACCCGGTCTTTTAATAGAGGAGTCGGTTCACTTTGCCTCTATCACCTAAGCTCCGCCCCTTATCTTAGTCCCCCCCGATCCTAAACCAAATGTAGAGCCTTCAGTTCCCCCACCCATCTCATTAGCTCTACCCCCTGCCCAAGACTCCACTCTTGTCCATTGGCAAGTTCCTTGACTCCACCTATCTGGTGCTCTTCGGCCACGCCGTACATCCAGAGGTTCTGCTGCCTTCTTCTTGGCCCCACCTACCTTCTCCAGGCCACGCCCATCTGCCCGGTCCCGCCTATGATGGCTGGCTAGGCCTTTATCTTTTCGGCCCCATCCGGTTTCTTAAGTCGTGCCTCATCGACTTGGCCACGCCCCCCTCCCACTCAGCCTCCAGTCTCCCGAGACCCCGAGATTTCCCGGGCCCCGCCTCCACCGCCGAGGCCCCGCCCCGGATCGCGAGGCCCCGCCTTCCACTCACTCAGAGATGTTGTAGTAGAAGTGGCCCTCTTTGCCCCGCAGGTCCGGAATGGTGATGGTCTCCAGTTCTTGCTCCAGAAAACGCAGCCCCTCCTGCTTCACTGAGGCAGAAGCGAGACCCTTAGCTCCCACTCACACTGTTGGGGCGACCCTACACCCGTCCTTTCCCGTCCGTCCCTGTCTGTCCCTGCGCCTTACCCAGCTCCAGCGCCTTGGAGGTGACGCGGATCTTACAGCCTGGGAGCTCTGCGTGAGCGCCTACCAGCAGCGCCAGGAAGAGGGCCCCGTAGAGGGCCATGGCGAGCTGGCCTGTGGGTGGGGTGGGGTCGCAGGAGTTATCCGAGCGGTGTAAACCCATTCCTTGGACGTCCAACCATAAGTGGAGACTAGCCTGGATCATTACCCTCCAGATAACTCTTCGGGGAACTTGGAACCAATAATCTTGCCTCCATTTGTCATATATGGAAACTGAGGCTCAGAGAGGCGATGTGACTTGCGCTGTGGCTCCCAAAGGACTTGGGACACGGGGGAGGGGACGTCCCCAGTTCCCTCGTGCCACCGCCGCGTGATGAGTTTGGACCTCCAGGGGACCAGCCCCCACACCCCCAACAACCTTCCCTTTCCTTTAGCAGTGGGCCCGCGCAGGCTTGCACGTTGCCATGGCAACGACTGCACGCGCATTCCTGGAGGGTGGCTTGCGGTCTCCTAGGCCTCGCGCCCGGGGAGGAGAGCGGGTGGCCGACCAGGCCGTGGTCTCTCGGGTCTCCCGGCTCCCTCAGGTCCTAAATCTCTCCCATCAGATATTCTGCCTGGTGTCCCCCGTGTCAGCGCCCTTCTTCAGCGGCTCTCCTCCCCACCCCGGCTTCAGTGCCCACGAGGCTCGGCGAGGAACTGGGGACGGGATGGGGACGCGCCCCAACTCACTCAGCGGTGGAGCTGGGGGGCGGCGCGGTCACGTGGGGTGGCGGGCAGCTCAGGGGATCCGAGCGACGGGGTCTGGCGGGCAGGGCTGTTCCAGCCGCTTTTATAAAGCCGGGCCTCCCCGACCCCTCCTCCTCTCTACAGCTCTCCCCTCCTCCCCCGGGGGCTGGGAGGGGACGGGGCGGGTCACTGGCAGCCGGGTGAGGGAAAAAGGCTGTACAGAGCCCCGTGACAAGCCCAGCCGCTGTCTGGACAAGTGGGGGACCCAAGCCCAGGGAGAGGGAAGGAAGTGCAGGAGTCGGCCCACTCAGCCCCAACAATCCTGCTTTGCTGGGACCTTGGTTCAAATTGCAATTACCCATGTCTCCCTGGCACGATCTTGGGCAAGTCACTTCACTTGGGTCATTGACCCTCAGTTTCTTCCTTCGCTAAATGTGCACGATGATAGGAACTCTTCCGCCTTTATTGCAACCAGGTCCAGGCACAATGTCAAGGCACATTTTTTCCTTCCCTGCCACCCATAATCATCTCAGGACCTCCTTGCCTGGCTTTGCTATAGGTCGCACCCATCTGTCTCTGTGTCATCACCCGGAGACCCTGAGGTCCCAGAGACCTTTCCCACTTGGGAAACCAAATCTAGGCAAGTGCTATCAGCCGCGGAACATACCACACCAGCAACTGGAATCACCCTAGAGGAGGAAGGTTTGCCATTTCTCAGGGCTGGTGGATTTTTTTTTTTTTTTTCTTGAGAAGGAGTTTTGCTCTGTCACCCAGGCTGTAGTGCAGTGGCGTGATCTCAGCTCACTGCAACCTCTGCCTCACTAAGAGAGGTTGCTTTGACTTCCCAAAGTGCTGGGATTACAGGTGTGAGCCTGGCCCTTTTTTTTTTTTTTAACAAAAAATTATTATTTTATTTATTTAAGACAGGGTCTCACTATGACAGGCTGATCTCTAACTCCTGGGCTCAAGCGATCCTCCCACCTCAGCCTCCTGAGTAGCTGGGACTACAGGCACCCACCACCACACCCAGCTAATTTTTCTAATCTATCTTTCTTTCTTTCTTCTTTCTCTCTTTCTTTTTCTTCTTTCTTTCTTTTCTTTCCTTCCTTCTTCTTTCTTTCTTTCCTCTTTTTTTTTTGAGAGAGTTTCCGTCACCCAGCCTGGAGTGCAATGGTGCAATCTTGGCTCCTGCAGCATCCGCCTCCCAGGTTCAAGTGATTCTCCTGCCTCAGCCTCCTGAGTAGCTGGGATTACAGGTGCCTGCCACTATGCATGGCTAATTTTTGCATTTTTAGTAGAGACCAGGTTTCACCTTGTTGGTCAGGCTGGTCTTGAACTCCTGACCTCGTGATCTGCCCGCCTTGGCCTCCCAAAGTGCTGGGATTACAGGCATGAGCCACCTCGCCCAGCTAATTTTTGTATTTTTAGTAGAGGTGAGGTTTCACCGTATTGGTCAGGCTGACCTCAAACTCGAACTCCTGACCTCAGGTGATCCACTGGTAGATTTTTTAATGAACCCTTGGAGCAAGGTGCTCTGCACAGCCCCCCCACACCCTACTCCCACTCCCACCTGCATCTACTGCTTACAGGGTTCCCAGACCCTGGGACAGGGCACAGAGTGGGTTCTTGCCACCTTTTGTTGCCAAATAGATGAAAGAAAAGGGAAGCAATAATCATGTCCACTAAGCATGTATTTAGCCCCAAGTACTCTTCTGGGAAGGATGACCAACTTGTCCTGATTTGCCTAGGACTTTCTCTATTGTGTCTTTTTTTGTTGTTGTTGTTGTTGCTGCTGATATAACCCACAGAGTCACAAAAATAGTTCCATTTCCTTTTTTTAAATTTAATTAATTTTTTTGAGACAGTCTTGCTCATTCACCCAGGCTGCAGTGCAGTGGTGCAATCTTGGCTCACTGCAACCTCTGCCTCCTGGATTCAAGTGATTCTCCTGCCTCAGCCTCCCAAGTAGCTAGGACTACAGGCGTGTGCAACCACGCCTGGTTAATTTTTGTATTTTTAGTGGAGACGAGGTTTCGCCATTTGGCCAGGCTGGTCTTGAACTCCTGGCCTCAAGTGATCCACCAACCTCAGCCTCTCAAAGTCCTAGGATTGCAGGCATGAGCCACCATGCCCAGCCTATTTATTTTTTTTAGAGACAGAGTCTTACTCTGTTGCCCAGGCTGGAGTGCAGTGGTGCAATCACAGCTCACTGAAGCCTCGACCTCTTGGGCTCAAGCGATCTTCCCACCTCAGCCTCCTGAGTAACTGTGACTACAGGCATGTGGTACCACATCCAGCTAAGTTCTGTGTTTTTTTTTAGAAAAAAGGTCTCACCATGTTGCCCAGGCTGTTCTTGAACTCCTGAACTCAAGTGAACCTCTTGTCTTGGACTCCCAAAATACTGGGATTACAGGAGTAAGCCACACTCCCAGCCATCCCCAGTTTGAAACTGTTCCTGGGAACCCACTCAGTCCCTGGCAAACCTTACCGCTGGTCATCCGAATTCTAGTAATTTATTCAACCTTAATGACCTATCAAATTGGCACTATTATGAACCCTCTTTAGCAGGAACCAGAGGTTGAAGCAATTCTGTGGCTGCTCTTAGGGAATCCGTATACTGTTCATGGAAGAATGGAAATTTTTTTTGTTGTTGTTGTTTGAGACGGAGTCTCGCTCTGTTGCCCAGGCTTGAGTGCCGTGGCACAATCTTGGCTCACTGCAACCTCTGCCTCCCAGGTTCCAGCAATTCTCCTGCCTCAGCCTCCTGAGTAGCTGGGACTACAGGTATGCGACACCATGCCCAGCTAAGTTTTGTATTTTTTAGTAGAGACGGGGTTTCACCATATTGGCCAAACTGGTCTCGAACTCATGACCTCATGATCTGTCCCCCTCAGCCTCCCAAAGTGCTGGGATTACAGGTGTGAGCCACTGCGCCCAGCCTGGAAGGTGGTTTTTATAGTCTGGTAGTTATGTGCTTAGACTCTTGTGTCTGACAGACAAGAGTTTTACATCCCAGGTTGTCAGTTCTTAGGTGTATGTTCTTGACCCTTTGCTTAAGCACCCGGAGCTTCAATTTCCTCATCCTAAAATGGAAACAATTTAAGGTTACTGCAAGAATAAATGGGCATAGTACATGGCGCACCATTAGTACCAAATAAATGCTAGCTATCAGGCCAGGCACGGTAGCTCATGCCTGTAATCCCAACATTTTGGGCAGCCAAGGTGGGTGGATCACCTAAGGTTGGGAGTTTGAGACCAGCCTGACCAACATGGAGAAACCCTGTTTCTACTAAAAGTACAAAATCAGCCGGGTGTGGTGGCACATGCCTGTAATCCCAACTACTTGTTTTTGGAGACAGCGTTTCTCCATGTTGTCCAGGTTGGTCTCGAACTCCTGACCTCAGGTGATCCGCCTGCTTTGGCCTCCCAAAGTGCTGGGATTACAGCTGTGAGCTGTTGAGAAATGTTAAGTTGTTGAGAAATGTTAAGCGTATGGTTGCTGAGAAATGCTGAGTGAATGATAGAATATATTGTTTGCTAGGAAGAATGATGGCAAGGAAAACCTAGCCCCCCTCCCCACGCCAAGTAGAAAACGATTTGGGATATTCTAAAGTGGCAGGACGATATATAAATATCTACACTGGTTAAAACAATTCTTTAAGCGCGGGACATCTGACCCTGCCCCCGTGGCTCCCTCGTGGAGAATACTTTTTAGTTTGTCTGTGATCAGTGGTAAGTGAGCACCAGCTGCCTACCTGGTATATTTTTGTGTTTTGAGAAAATATCGAACATCTGTTTGTTAATAACCATCACCTGTTCAGAGAGAATAAATGTGTGGGTCAGAGTCTACTTGAGGCCTTCAGCCTAGAATGCTGTCAACCCTGGGTCAGAGTCTACTTGAGGCCTTCAGCCTAGAATGCTGTCAACCCTTGAGGCTCTGAGCTCGTAAGGCTGCTGGCCCCTTGGATAGTCCCACTTCGTTGTTCTATCTGGGGGGTGTCTGCCTCTCAATTCCTTCAGCGCCGCCTGGTCTCTACGGCCGAGCTGGTCTCGGTAGTGAGCCACTACACCTGGTCATTTTTTTTTTGAGACGGAGTTTTGCTCCTGTTGCCCAGGCTGGAGTGCAACGCACGATCTTGGCTCACCACAACTCCCACCTCCTGGGTTCAAGCTATTCACCTGCCTCAGCCTCCTGAGTAGCTGAGATCACAGCTGTGCACCACCACGCCCAGCTAGTTTTGTATTTTTAGTAGAGACAGGATTTCACCATGTTGCCCAGGCTGGTCTCAAACTCCTGGTCTCAGGTGATCTGACTGCCTTGGCCTCCCAAAGTGCCGGGATTACAGGCATGAGCCACCACACCTGGCCACCTTCTTTTTTAACAAAATTATCATTTATTTAAGACAGGGTCTCACTGTGTGCCCAGGCTGATCTCCAACTCCTGGGATCAAGTGATTCTCCTACCTCAGCCTCGCGGGTAGCTGGGACTACAGGTAAGCACCACCATGCCTGGCAGTTTTCTCTCGTTTTCTTTTTTTTTTCCTCTTTTTTTGAGACAGGGTTTCATTCTGTTGCCCAGACTGCAGCTTCAACCTCCCCAGGCCCAGGTGATCCTCTCACCTCAGCCTCCTGAGTAGCTGAGACTACAGGTATGTGCCACCATGCCCAGCCAATTTTTGTATTTTTCGTGGAGATGAGGTTTCACCATGTTGCCCAGGCTGGCCTTAAACTTCTGAGCTCAAGAAATCTGGCTGGCTCAGCCTCTCAAAGTGCTGGTGTTACACCGCATCTGGCCTTTCCTCTCATTTTCTTCTTTTTCTTTTTTTTTTGTTTCTATTTTTGTCTTTGAGACAAAGTCTCACTCTGTTGCCCAGGCTGAAATGCAATGGCAGGATCGCGGCTCACCGCAACCTCCGCTTCCTGGATTCCA